GGTTTCAGTAACTTAACAATTATTGCACCAATATTATTTGAAGAAATAACAAGAATTATTTATTATTGCTTTCTCATCATTTATATTTATGTGCACGTAGTGATGTGCCATTCATAGTAAACTTGGTTTTTTCGCGCACAGTGTGTGTAGGACTCACGCGTAGTGAGTGTAAGCATTATGGGCAATGGAAAAAAATCTCGCTTATTATTATTGTGCCACAAACTATTCGCGAACCATTCGCAGCACATCACTACATGCACGTTTGCAATTCAATGGTCGGATCCAAGATGGAAAATTTTGAACTTTTATTTGGTTTAAAATCACCCAAGAGGTCACTAGCTGGATCCGTAGTAATTAATATAATGTTCGCCAAATCTAATATGGCAAGATTAATCGTAATTAGAAGAATTCTTTGGTTATTAATATTAACTTGTTTAGTCACGACGTTGCCTAATACAAAAAAAGGTTGTAGTCTGATTTCCTCCGAAAAGTTCTCTGAAAGTTATCATAACTGGGAAGGTTAAATCTTGTACTGATAATATATTTTCAGGCACATTGCAAATATAAATCTATTATTTATTACTCGTATTTGCATGGATTAGTCGTCTTAACACCATTAATTGCAACAATGAATACACTACACAGTTGATATTAGCAGTATTTATTACACACTATTTATTTCGTCCTCGTAGATCTGGCTATCGAGAAACATTTATTGTAAAGTAAATAATAAAATTCTATATCAAAATTGATATAGACCAAATAACGATTTTAATCTTAAACTAATTTGAAATCGTCAAATAGATGGGCGGATTAGACATAAGATTTAGATATGAAGGTTTAGGTGAAGCAATAGATGACAGATGAATAATGTCACGTGATGATGATGAAGGTGAGCCAAGCAATAATAATAAGAATATTTTAGACCATTTTTAGATTTTATCATCCTTTATTTTTTTTGTATAGATTGCAAAATTAATAATAAATTGGGGGGGGGGTTTAAAAAAAAACTAATCATTTTCGTACACTTTTTCAATTGTACAGAATAGTATTGAAGGAATGTTAAAATGTTATTGTAATGATGTGAATGAATTGAGAGAAGAAGTTAAAAGGTTAAAAGAAGAAAAAAATTTGTTAAAAAAGAAAATATCTAATGATAAGTTTTATCTTTAATATCGTTCTTCTATTAGGAAAAACAAACTATAATTTGTTCTCTTAATAATAATAATGATATTGTTAATACAGACTTTTTAAAAAATTTAAAATTCATTCATTAATAAACAGAAAATAATAATAATAATAATAATAATAATAATAAAATTATCAAGAGTTACTGAATCAAAAAAACATTTTACTTATAAATCTATCCTTATTAACTGGTATAACTTTTTTACCTTGGGTGTTTCTGCCCACATCTAGAAATCATCACATAAATTCTTTTTAAAAATTCAATAGAGCGTGCGCACACACACACCTCTAACATCTTTCAATTTATCTGTATTAAACTCGTTGTTACTCCATTTGTCGAAACTCCTTTCTGAGATTTCAATTTTTGATTTTTGAGTTGTGGAATATATATTATTAGATGTAAATATATAAGCATAAATGTAAGTCAAAATCAAATTTTTATATTTGTTTGGATGCAAAATTCTGATTGGCTAATTGGAATTTCACGCGCGTGAATTTCAAAATTCATGCACAACATAAATATTAGATTATTATTATTATTATATTAGATTAGATTGCGTCAATTTTCATCATGTTAAAAAATAGAAATTCGCGTATCAATCTCTTTAGATTTTAACACAATTGACATCATTCACCTTTCTTGTGAAATACCAAGATAAATAATAGATTGTTGGAATTATTTATTTAGAATTCATATTTTACATATTTTACAATACATTTTACATGTGTTAATAAAATCCTTTCCCACATGTAAAAATTTTACATCGTGACCTATCTTTGCCCCACATTTAATGTAATTTTTATTATCAAAGAATAAAAATATACACATGGGTTGTGCTGTGGTAGTAGGTGGAAACTACATTTACAATTATTTAACATATACATATGTTAATTTGATCAAATCGCATTCTTAAAATATTCAAAAATAAAATAAAACTTTTTTTAAAAAAACAATGAAAGTGTAATAATCTTTAGGAAGCAAAAATCTACAATAATATAGGCAAAAAATGCCTTTAAAGATTCTTTCATGAGGATTATAAGAAACAACAGATGAAAATGTAAACCTGTAAACTAAGGATGCAATTTGCGCAATTAAACGCAGCCTGCGTATTATGAACTTTATGAATACAAGGAATATAATTAAATCAAAATTTCATTAACTAAACCATTTACATCCTCTTCATCACTCTCATTAAGATCAGGTAGAAAAATCACATTAAAATTGGTTCCAATTAGAAATTTTAAATCTTCATCACCATTATCATTGAAATAATTTACATCATGTCATAAAACTTGTCAGAACCGAACCTTCATATTCTTCAACAGATCCTTCGACGCTTTCACTTAAGTCTCTTGAAGTGTTTCTTTCGTTTATCTAGTGTATGTCTGCGGAAAGGTTTAATTCATTTTTTATATTAGAGGTAAGTTTTGGTTAGTGATTCAATTGTTTGAATTCCAAATTTGCTTGTTAAATATCATTGAATTTACAGGATTAATATCAATAACATTATCATCACCATATTTCAAAGTTTTTCTAGCTCTTCTACAATCTTTTATTCATAATTTCAGATCAGGTAATCGGAAATGTATGTCAATGTGTTCAGGAAATCACAAATAAAAGGCTGGAAACATTTAACATTTGAAATTTTCCAACCAATTTTTGTTTTATATTCTAAAAAATGAGACATATATGTTAATAGCACACATATATAAATAAACTGATTAGGGATAAATAACTTATAATTTAAAATAAAAAAATGATGAAAATAAATATAAATTGTCAATTTTCCTTTCTAAACTTTCTCTCCTCCGAAATTCACGCACGTGAAATTCAAATTAGCCAATCAGAATTTTGTTTTTGAGGACTAAAAAAGAAAAGATAGGCGATTTGCAGTTTGCCTGAACAAGAAGTTGCTTGTTGTTACTGGAAAACTTCAAGAAGATGCAATTACTTAAACTTCCAATAGCTACATCGTCACCACCATCATCACTTTTTTCACTGTGTGTACCACCATCAGTGCTGCTACTACACCATTAATACCAATTATTACCATCACCACCAATATTGATATACAAAAGCTACTTTATCTTCTATACCTTCGTAAACGCCATAATCATATGATTAAATGACCAAAAAGATTTGCTTTCATAAATAAATTTAAAACCCACGAAGAAAATACTGTTTGAATGAATACAGTCATTATGACTAAGGATTAATTTTGTTTAATAATCATTAAATAATTTTACTTGAACGAATATTAAATACAATAATATATATACAATAGT